TTTTTTTTTCTTCAGGTGCCAAAAGACGTATTCTACTTTACAGGCATTCGTTTGCATGATTACCGCATTCAATGAAGCAATCAGAGAAACAACTGTCAATACAATAGGAGGGACAAAAGAACAAAGGTGTTTAAGCCCTTCCATTTGTGAGTCCGCCATGGTAGCCTAACCAAAAACCACCTGCAGTTTCTCAACCCCAATTATAATCGGCAAATTAATGGACATTGGAGGGCCACAAGAAATAAATTGTTTGAGGTTAGATAACCAGTCGAGCAGAACGAATGGTTGCGGCAGTCATTCTACAGTATCTGGTCTAAGATGACGTTGAGGACTCATTTGGATGCAAACATGACTTGATCGTTTTTTCACCTGGGGAGTGCAGTAAGAACACTTCTGGACTTCGGAAGGCTCCTGTGTGATACGATACGCATATTTTTTAACTCTTCAGATGGAGGGTGGTAGTCTGTAAGGCTCACTGATTTGTTTACAAGGGGGGATCTGGAACCGATGTGGGACATTCAATCTGGATTTTGCCCTGTAAGTGAAACCAATCTATGTTTTAAAAAAGCCAAGAAGCACTGCACATCTGTTTCAACCTTATTGGGATTAGCCGCCAGCAGAACAACTCACATGGATTTCCACGAAGATTCGAACCCGTGACCTCCAGACCAGTCGGTTAATCAACAATGCGATCAACGAAACTCATTCAATCACGGAATCCAGAAGGACAAGTGATTCATAAGATGAGTGAATCATTCATCTGAGAACTCGTCACTCGAGCGGCTGGTCGACATGTGAGCACATGACATGAATCTCGTGACTGTTAGATGAGTAGTTCTATATCTTGTCTGAGTGTAAGTTAATCACTGCTGATCGGCCGCTAGTGGCCGAACGATTTAATCTCCACCTACCGGCTGAGAGGTTAAGGGCTCGAGCTGCCCTGGAGATTTATTAGACGCGTACTGATAATGATTCTCGCTGACTTGTTTTTACCATACTTGATCTCGTTATTACCAGTGGTCAATGTATGGGTAAAGCATGGATAGGCATGCTCTTGTTCAGAAAATTAAGACAGATGAACATATTAAGTGGATGTCGTTCGTCAAGGGTAATACAGCGCAGCGAACCAACAAAAACAGCCTCGACAAAGTGGAATACACAGACAGATGACTAAGCTTTGACTTGGCAGGGGAAAATGAAAGAAAATACAAAGAACCTGGATACTGACAGTGCGACTTGCCTTCCAGGAAGGGGTCAGCTTGACCCTCCCCCTCCTGCGTATCATGGCGAACCGTTTGCGTGCTGCCGAGGCTACTCGCCTTCCGGTATCGGGACCGCGTAATCCTTACTGCTCCTGGTTGGAGACGCTGTAAGATTCGGTTCCTAATCAATGTCAACGGCGTTCTTGTTATCAGTTTCCATCAAGATTGTCCAAATGAATGTCTGGAGGTGAAGGTACCTCGGAATGATTATGGTAGTCTAGCGCTAAGTCCTTTCTCCATCCATTTTTACTCCTCCCCTAAAAACAAGGCTTGCGAATGAATTATGGTTGTATGGCAGCGAAGCATCGGTGTTGAACACTGATGTTGTGTTGTCAATAATGATGATGATTCAAATGTCTCCGTACGAGTTTTTCTGGGGCATGAATCACTACCAAATTTCTACGAATGACCTGTGGTTTATTATCCAGTTTGTCATTCGTGCAAGATCCAGAAAGCTTGGTAGGCAAAAAATGTCACGAGTTTCCTTTTGTAATTCAAATCTAGAAGCCTGTAAAAGTTGAAGTATTGGCCGGAATGTGTAGGTATATTTGCTTCGAAATGAACTGTCTTGGCTTCTGACCGTAAGTTATCATGGGACATTTAGTCCCCGATAAAGCTGAGTAGAATATGGGCGGGGTTAAAAACTGTTTGTAGTACCAGGGTAGCCGTGTAGGATTCAGAGTTGATAAAAATATCATCGGTGCAACGTTTGTAAAGTGGTAGTTCTTCTATGGTGGGTTTTATGTTCAAGCTTGCTTATAAGAATATGAGCTAAGAAGGAGAGTCTAACGTAACCCCGTCTCTTTGTCGGTAGATGATGTCATTGAACAAACATCGTACGCTGACAGTTCGCGTTCTACTACATGAACTGAATGGAATTTTTAACGCGATCGAATCCAGTCCACGGTTGATTGCACCTCCGACCACAGATAGTGGATACCTACGTGTATATGTGGTTGTTCTCGTAGGCGCAAATGTCACGTTCCATAAATTTACGTAGGTAAGCGAGCTGGCAACATGGTATGAGTGGGCCATTCGATTGATTGGTTGGTGTGCGCGTTGCGACATATCGATCAGAATTGGTTGGACGATTTAATCCGCAGATTTGAACTGCTTCATGTGTTCAAGATACATCGTGTTATTGTAGTAATGAACGTCGGTTGAAGCTCAGAGGTCACAACTGTTTGGTTTGGCTACAGCGCACCTACTCTCGTTAGCTGTGGAGTGTGGGTCGGACGGTAGGAAGTGATGATTTTTTTAGCCTACCTCGATGCCTAAAGTTGTTGCTAACTCGCTTGCAATTATGCGACCGAACGGATCAACAGTGGCCGTCTTAGAACCTTCGTTGAAAATTAGTTGAAATAGCTCCTGCGCTTTAACGACTGCACTATCCCCCTCCATATCCTGATTTTTTGACTCCACATGACTGTCTGTCCACATATTATCCTCGATTTACCTATTTTCCAACAAGTTGTCCAAACAATCCACGCCCTGAACGTCTTCGATGAAGGAGCAACAATAACCGCTTTGGGATTCATTCCTGGCATGTACTCCGAAACACCACAATCAGAGTACCCAGTAGTGCATATATCTGTGGTTGTCTCATCCCAGTTACAGACACCTCCAAAGGGGGCCACTCACATAGCATTGTATAGTAAGCTGTGGTAACTCGCTTCGGCCTCTGGCTAATAAAGCTTGCCGGTTTATTGAGGAAAAGTAACAAAAACCTGTACCAGACTAGGGCATGGTCTGAACTGGGTTATGAAACCCAGGCTGATAGACAGTTAAGTGCTGAGCCTCGTAATCAAAACCTACTACATAATTGACCGATTTGTCTCCGTGGTTCTTCCCAATAGCACAACGGCGCCCACCACATCTAAACTCAGCACCGTTGAGGCACAACTGGTGCTCAGTGCTAAGTTGCAAAAGACGGTCATGATTATTATTAAGTCCTGAGTCTAAACTGAACATGCCAACAAGTAGTGCGTCCGATGATCTGGGGGCACTCTAATTTTGCTGAGGTCTCCAGCCCAAACACTTCGTGTCCAATAACTAGCTTACGATGAAGTGTTCCGCGTCAAACCGGAGCTACGTCGGTTGACGAATGAACAGAAATTATAAACAATGGGCATTCTGACCATTGAGAGCTCTTATGAGTTCTCAGGCGAGTAGCACAGAGAATCAACCAACGAAGCTTCTGTTAAATAGATCATTGACGCTAGCACTACCCGCTACAACAGCTACACAATCCCTGCATTTCATAGTCGATGATTCAGAAATAGTGACGTTTCTGCTAGGTCAACTGGTGTACTTGGATCAAGCTGCGAAGATTCAGTGAACGTCTACAAATTGGACTTTGTCCAAGAGAAACTTTTTGGCCCATTCGTTGAGAGTTCGAATAGTAAGGCTGGCAACCAAACAGCATGGGATCTGAACATTGGAAGGGAAATGGTAAGTGTAAGCAATGGCGATTGGTCACTTCCCTGGATACCTGAATAACGTGCCCCTGATTTGTATCCACATAAGAGCGATCGTTACGTGAAACAAGAGGGGAGTTAAAGGATAATAACGAAGACGGAAGCCATGGAAGGCGCCAGAAGTCGCACCTATTCACCTGACGGCCCACTTGTGTATAGTGGACCAGAACAGAATACAATCAATTCACTCAATTTATCAGCTTTAAACCGTGTGCCATAGACATATTGGTTCCAGCTGCTACAGTTTCAATCGCCGGAAAACGGGAAAGTGGAACATACAATCAGGCCTTGGAGGCGCAGGCATGTTCAGTTTGTTCGGAAATTGGGTAGCTACGCACTGAAGGTGATAGCTTTGATACACGAGTGCAACTGACTGCGCGATTGGGCGATTTCCGCCAATTTCATTAGCCACTGATGATTTGATCCCGAAGTCCCCATCCAGGCGGCAGTTGCCCACCCAAATAAGTTTGTTGATTAGTAGTTTCGTACTTCGTTGTCCACCTCTCACTCACTTCCACTCAGCACAGGGCTTGGAGAAAAAGCTCTGTGAGGCAAGTGGCGTGGAATAAAAATACTTGTCGTCGCATGTGGGCGACTAAACACAGTCAGGAGGGTGCCTCAAGTGATCAACCGAAGGCCTTGGCTCAAAATCCCCACTGGAAAGCAGTAGTGGTCGGTGTAAGTAAAAACACTACATGGATGACCAAGATAACATATTTGTCAGGCCTCTATCGAAACGAGCAGGAGACTATGGTTGGTACATTAGTATAGTTCAATAGGTTGCCGAGGTACACACCTGCGATTAGCCGAAGTCTGTCCAGAACTTTTTCAATGACTCCTTCTGTGACGTTTGCCAAAGTTTTGTCTCACTCCATATATTGTCTCCGTTATGCGACCACACGTGCATTGCGTACATTCCGTCTTAAAACAGTTTTCTGGTTTGTTTTCATGAATCTGGCTCATCAAAGAAGAACTCAGTAATGCCACATTAAAACCTGTGGTTTTTACATATGTCATCCAGACACCACCATTGTTGGCCAGCACTCAAAAAGAGATTTAGCGTTCGAATTTTTCAACAATTGATATCTTTGGAGCATTGCCCGAGTCTGGTGGGAACAGAGGATAAGCAACGCTGAAGTATGTTGAATGTTTTTCGGAAGAAATAACTCGCCCACGGTTGATCACACTTCACAGGTTGAGCTGCTTCGGCCACGTGCACCGTATGCCACTCGACTGAATTCCTCGAAGAGTTCCTTTAGAACAACTATGCAAAGGGTGGAAACGAGTTAGGGATGGTCAAACCAGGCCTTGGCAATGAGAGAGAGCCATTACCAGCTAATTCAGCCGCGCTGATCATTGCCGTCTCCCTGGATGGGGACCCCGAGACTGATCACATCAATGATTGCAGATATTGACAGACATGGTCCAGTCGCGTCCTCAATGGCGCTCGTGTATCCAAGCCATTGCTTTCCCAACCCCCCCTCTCCCCACTTAAAATTCCACTGACGGACCTGTATTTACGCTCAGCTACCGCCTCTAAAACGCACTTACCTACCCCATCTCTCCAAATCATCTGTGAACAAAATTGTGGCATCTACAACCACTTACGACAAGCACGCTGTTCTTGCAGCTAATGACGATGATGATTTTTTTATCGGTATTTATCGGCTTTCCATGGAACAAGGGCGTGACATGACGCCATGCCAAGCTGCAATGAACGTTTGCTTCGCCAGCTGGATTTCTCACGAAGGGAGTATATGATTTCATAATCCGGCCGACGGGTTGAAAATTACGTCAGTAAAAGTGCACCACCAGCGCCGGACTTAATTTTCATAGGCCCAAATAGTGCATCTCTGTTAGCGGTACTGCCCATCTGGAGGTCCCTCATAAGAGCCCAACATTGGTCAGTTTGTTTGAAAGTTCAGGTAAGCAAATTATGAGAGTCTCTAGTTGGTTGAAACTTTCATATTCAGGTTGTCTCTGGTCTTGCGCCTACTAGTCACAGCCAATGAATGAAAATGGTCCGCTGTCCTTCGGACCCGAAGTAGTTACACTAGTTTAACAACAATCTTAACTACAACAGGGCTAGACCCGCTGATCTTAGACAGTGTTCACTGGTTGGTTCCAGTCATGTCAGAGAATTCGCAAGGCTGCGATTGGAAAGTTTTCCTCTTCGAGTATGGGCCAGGCAGAATGTCCGTGCGAGAAATCAGCAAGGGCAAAGAACGAAGCAGCCGTGGATGTAAGATCTCACAGGTTCACCTGCACTGTATCAAGGTGTCAACCATGGAACATGAACAGCCGTTAGATGACCAGCTAATGTGAACTAATCTGAACCATTGTGCGGCAGTATGGAAGGATCATTGGTATGAACATGATTCCCAGAAAACCAGCAAATACTCAAACGAAATGAGACGATAGCAAAGCGTACGCATGTCGGGTGTGGTGCACCTCGCCTCTGTGATTTGTCCTTCACGACGAGAACACATAAACAAGTTGGTGGGATTCGTGGTATATCCCGCTGACGTTCTTTTCAACGAAAATCTCGCGGGCACCTCATACATCTGTCAGCCGTGCTCGGTGATAAAAAAAATCAGAATCTCCTAACATCGTTGCTAGTATGAGTAAATTGGGAAATTTTCAGTGAGACTTTTTAAACACTTGTAGTGGCTAGGTTTCTAAACCGCCTAAGAGTATCGTACCTGCTGCATCCAAAGATGACTATAACCAGACTTTAGCAATTAACAGTCGCGATCAATGTTTTATGTCAATGACCTTGAAGACCAACACAGGAGCACTGAAAAACTAAAACAACGCTGCGACTTCGTCGAGAATAACTGGAAGAACAGGAAGATGAGGACAGGTCATCATCAAGATCAGCTGTAAAAGCGTACTTGCCGTACGGTAAACATGGCTTCCATGGTTTCATTAGTCGATGATTTAGGGAGGTGGGGTAGATAGCTATGCATTGGATGCGGTAGCTGATATAATTGATGTGTAAATACAGTGGTGTCAGTAGACTTTCCGTTGGGGAAATCGAGAGAGGAGCTATGCATTGAAGGTAACAGCTTGGATGCATGAGCTACACTGAGCACGTGAGTGGGTCATATCTGATAGTGTCTCTGACCATTGGTGTATCTCCTCTTGGGGTCCCCATCTACGGAGACGAAAATAACCAGCACTACTGAGTTTGCTGGTAATGGTTTTCACTCTTCATCACTGAATCATTGTTTGACCTCCCCTGGTTCTTTTCTACCCTACGCATGGTTTTTCGAAAATGGCTCTTGGAGGACGTTGGCCGACTGGCATACGGAGCATATGACCAAGCCAGGGCAACCAATAGAATATGATCGTTCATCTATAGTGGGCGAGTTATTTTTCCCGAAGAATATAAGAAGTACTTCAGCATTACTGATTCCACCAGACTCAGGCGACTCACTGTAGAGGCGAGTCGCTGTGCCAATTACACTAGTCCACCAATAGTCATACAAACTAGGTAGGGATGAATAACCGACCATAACTCACCGGAAACATTTGATAACGAAATTCAAATCAGCATAGTAAGCTTCCATAAACGGCTTTCCATTATCCAGTGACTCCAAGGACTTTAGGGTGAAAGAAAAAAAGAAAATCTCTTAAGGACTGCCCAGCTTGAAAAAATGCTTCGCTAATTAATGAAAACTGGTAGCCGGACGAATCAGCATACGGCCATAAAACTAGTGGATTTTTAAAACCGGGTTTATAAAGCGCGTTTAGTCATCAGTCTAAATCGTTATTTGTCCATCATTTAGATATGCTGAGTCAATAAATTCAAAGCTGTCATCCAGACTTCCCGTACGAGATGTATGTCTTAGGTCGCGAAGTCATTCTGGTTTCATGTTGGAACCAATGTTATTTCCAATAAAGGTTTCGTCAAGTGGGTGAAACAGATCTACACTGAAAAGCCCAGGAGCACTGTACAACTCCTTCATTTTTGTTAGAAATCATCACCAATGTACGTCTCACGAACCTCTTGTGAGCTACCACTCCATGATCTTCCGACTAGCAGCTGAACACTTCACCGTTCGCAAACCAGCGGCTGACTAGAAATGTGATTAACTCAACCTTGAAAAGTACGTAGTGCTACTTATCCGGCAACCACCGAATCCACATCAAGTGACCACGTGTTGACTGCCTCCTCGACTGACGACTTCTTAGCTGGAAGATTAACTTGTGCGAATTATTTTTCCTTCTGAGTTACTGCTATTTTATTAGTGATGATATCGTCATCTTGCCACTACAAGTGGCTATTTAGTTTCAACTGCAATTTCTTTGTACCATGTTTATCTTTTGGCATTACATATTTTGTCTCAGTCAACATTTTCAACATAGACCGCTTTTTAAGCACGAATATCCTATGCCATTTGCTTGGTCAAATTAAAATAGCATCCCCTCGTTCCTGACCTTCTTCAGCGTTTGATATGCTTGAAAAGCACTGTTATAGGGTAGAAGAGTTTGCACTGATAACAAAGATCTACTAGATATGACGCAAATAGGTCCAGCAAATCACTTGTTGTGACTTGCCGTTATTGAAACGAGTCATCTGGTTTGGCTAAAATCTGCAAGCAAATGTTATTACAAGGAATTCAAAGACTAGGGTCCAGCGATAGTACTTAAAAGAATGTGGTAACGTTATTAGCCTACCGCTGTGGTCCTGTAGAGGAGAAATAGTATGGTTGATTACCGCCCAACGTATTCCTTTTGCTGTCAATAACGAACACATTTAATGTTAGTTCCTCTAACACATCAGTATATTAACAACCGGAAGACACATCGTACGAGTGTCACAGAACCAGTGTGACCGAGTTTATAGAGTTTGACATAAAGCGTCCGGTTCATTGCGACTTCGTTGTAAAAGGTCCCACTAAGTTAAAGTCATTTATAAGTCTAATAAGCAAAAAAGATCCGTTGGGTTTTCACGAAGTTTGGCAACCTGAGTGTAGTCATGCGCTATTCTAAACGTGCAGTGATCCTCGTAAAGGACTGCAAAACTTGGACTGGGAGACGATATAAGGCGCAGTTAGCCCTGAAAAAAGCCATCTACTGCGCGTTTCATCTTTAAGATATAGTATGACCGGTTACTTATCCGTCTGGTTAATAGTTTTCACGGTTCACCAAAGTGTCACACGATCATAAAACACAATTACACGCATCATCATCATCATCATCATCATCATCATCATCATCGACAGCATGACATCAGTGTTCAATACCGATGCTTCACTGCCGTACAACCATGACTTATTTGAAAGCCTTATTGT